GTCCTCACCCCTAAATCCTCAGGTAGACCACAGTGAGTGTGGACACCTCCCAGGTGCCATAGGGACTACATGGTATAATTTTAGAGTTGGATGTGGGGGCACATCCAGGTTAAAGTAGGGGTAATATAATGTGAATGTAATATGTGTAACAGCAGGAGGAACCAGTAGTCTGCAGAGCTGTTCTGACTGGTAATTTAGACTGCAACTCCCAGAAACCCCCAGGGGCTGGCAGGCAAAAGAAAAAGGAAGAGTAAGCTCAAGGTTAGAGTAAGGGGAAGAGAGAGCAGCATGCATGTGAAACCTGGTCAGCTCTACACAGAGGAGTGCACCGAGCTGGACATCTCGCTGGTTCAGTCAGCCAAGACTGTGGACTGAAAGACTTGGGGGCAGCTGCAGGTTGCTGTTTGAGTGCTCTAGGGACTAACAGCTTGCTTGGGGACACCTCCAGAGTTGTGGCAGGGAAATTAAGACGCTGAGTGTATGTTATGACAATGATGATGTTTCTTTACCTTTTACCTGTTCCCTCCCTTTGGCCCATTAGCTTGTGATTTTCTGTATAAAAGTGGGAACTCTCCCTTGCTTCTTGTGACAGTTTCTGGGGCTGCAGAGTTGGCACAGTATTAACTGGCTTCACTCAAAAACTAACTGAAATAATTCTCTTGCTGACTGGATACTATCCAATTTAACTTGGTTACATCCACTTTGGTATCTCTTTGGATATGATAAAGGTGACCCCATTATTATAATATGATAGGTAAGTGCAAGATAACTGGAGAAAAGCAAATATAATACTGATTTTTAATGGATGATCCTGGTGCTAATCATCTTTTAATTCTAACTACATCTCTGGTAAGTAACAATAAATATTAAGAGAAAAATTGCTATGAGCCATATTGTGACATATCCTACACGAGAGTATAGAGAGCATAAAGCAACCCCTTAGTCTCTTGTATCAGTGACTCCTGCTGGCAAGCATAAGCAGGCCCTGCAGAGTCTATAATCTTCCCTCACTAAGGGGCAAGGAGTGGGTAGAACTCTCTGAAAGGAAGTGGAAGTAATGGGATACAAGCAGAGAAGAGTAAAACTATAAAACCATGAAGTGTCATTAAAAATTTGTAGGATCGCAGTATGTGTTGTAGCTGTGATGATCCAGGAAATATGGAAAAACTAAGGACTTTCTTGGTGATACCTTATTGAAACAACTGCATAGCTGAGATGCAAGCCACACTTTTGGGCACAAAGTGGCTTTTTCAGGTCGTGAAAAGAAGCAGATACAGCCTAAGCTAGATCCATAATGTAAAAGTTTGCATTTAACTCCGTGTGTAAATGAACAGTCACTTGAAGAATGCAGGAAGACTATGAACTAGAAACAAAGCGAAGTTATTAGAAGCAGGTTCAGAACCAAAAAAAAAAGCTCACCAATAGGAGACCACTTTTCACAGAACTACTCCCTTTCTGACCTCACAATTCTAATACTCAAGGGAAATCTGCAAAATACTGTCACATGGTGGGCCCAGGAATAACATTCATAATTTTACTAGAGACTAAAACTGCTGGCAGTAGTGTAACAATCAGGTTACCAGAGCACCAGCCCCAGGGCCCATTTAGAGGGGGCACATGAACATCAGCCACTACCTCTGCCAGCCCAGTCCCTGCTGCCACCTAGGGTGTTGGCCCTGACTGTTACACTTCTGAACTATGGATTAAACACAGCCGATGTCATCATGGCTCATTACACTACCTGCTATCCCTGCTAACTTCTCAGCACTCCACAGGTAATACCAAACCTTTCCCCCCTGATCTTCTACAAGTTATCGATTTCACTGTGCTTCTCTTGTTTTGAAGCGGCTTGTGATAACTTCTCTTTGCTTCTAGATCTAATCCTCCGGTATCACCCAAAAAACCTTTGCTTCTCGCATTAAGAACTTGATCATAATAAAAAAATATTTATTTGTAGAACAGCTTCCCAAGGGGAAAAATGCACGTCTTGACACTTACTGAAGTTAAACATCCTCTTATGTCAGTCACAAAACTTTTTTTCACTGCTCCACCCACTCCATCACTGAAAGGGTATGGTAGCTGGTGGGTGTGTCTTTCCAATCCTTGATAGCCATCTAGTGGCATAAACATGTCTGCTGCTCAACTGTCGCATTGCATTTAGGCCTTTTATGATTGCTGGGACAAAGATCCTGCTGTACTTCTCTCACAAGGACAGGAGAGTATTTTTCAAGTGATGCATTTGATATAGCTCTGAGTAAATTGAACCAAAAGTCAGAAAGATCTCCTCGCTGGTTAGAACAGGGCGGGGGCCGAAGGAGGTGTGTATCCCTGTTCTTTAGCATACCATTTATTTCATTACATCTAATTTGGCTGATATTATCAACATTATTACACTGATAGTTGTTTCAACTCAGACTAATTTAATTGATAGAATTCTGTGTCCTTGCTATTATATGAGACAATTAGCTCTCATTAGTTCACATTTCACTCATTTTCTACTGACTGATTGCACTACATACTGATACTCACTAATATCAATATGTAATGCAATCAGTCAGAGGAAATGTTGGTGGAGTATCTCTAGAAACTATCATACTTATCATTCTGATTGTCTTCAAAGTACCAATATTTTCCTATAATTTGATGGTTTCATAAAGTAATATTTTGTATGAATACCAATTTTAAGGTCACATACTTAATCATGTATGGATTAAGCAGCATTTAACTAATGAGGAATTTATTGCAACTTATTAATATATTACTGTTATATAGTGTAACCTGCAAATAATAAAAATGAAAATACAGTTTGACTTAGAGACTTTTTGCTTCCCTTTTCTTATTTCTTCAGTTTTCCTCCTATATTCTAAGTTTTTTTGTATTCTATTGTGAAGGTCCTGCTGTAACCATATGGAGAGCTTTAGCAAAGCAAGAACATGCAGCTGATGCTTTGTAGAAGAGGTGAAAAGGTTACTCAAATTGTACTACTGTTAATTTGTCCCTTAAGCATCTACAGCAGGGAGTCTATAATAGAAAGAACCAAAGCACAGAGATTTGGCTATCAGATTATTATGTCAGAAATGCTAAAGATTCAAAGGAAAGAAAAGGGTGAAAAGCTTTTTGTAACCAATTTAATATAATCCACTGAGCTTTCGTTGAAGCCTATTTATAAATGCACTGCTAGTTTACTCAAAAATGCATATACAGGTACCTATATTTTCCTTCTTAAAAATGTTTATAGTTACTTAACGATGCAAATTTGTAGTTATCCTAATAAACAATATGCTTTTAGTCCTCACATTTTTCTGAAATATTAAGCCCCTCAATACTCTGGTAAAGTACAGATCATTCTGAGAAAAATAATAGCACAACACTCTCTAGTATACTGTTCTTTAGAGCTTAGCTCCTCAATAATAAATGTATATAAGAGTCTTTACAGATGGCCTCAAACAAGATCATAATCTTTAAAAAGAAAATATTTAATATAGAAAATATAAAAAGGCATAAAATAAACAGTTTGCAGTTTAGGATTTAAAAAATTCAAAATAATCATATTTCAAAGAGTAAATCAAATTAGATTTGCTATGCTAAATTTGATGCTGAATAATGACATAGGACATTTAAATACCATAGTTGCTATAATAATCCCCGTTTGATTCATGGGTTCCCTGAACTGGGCTAAGCCTTTAGAGAAAAACTAATTGCTACAAACAGTAATTTTCAAGTCCCTTTTGTTTCCTATTGCAGGCACCTCTGGATGCAGAAGGTACCCAATTAGCAGAATTCATGGTCCTGATTGTGCATTGTGGGGCTAGTGTTTGAACAGTATAAACACTGCTGATTACTATTCCAATGTAATGCTTGATTTTTTTTGATTGCTTAATAAGGCCATCTATTCTGCATCAGGCACTGGCAAAGCTGTTGGTGAAATCAGTTAGGTCACTTTTTTCTGGTCATAGTAGCAGGAGGAGCCTTGTGATAGTAACAGATGACTAAAGACATAATTACAGGCTATTTAATCACATCTGTTTTCCCACTTAACATTGTTTGCTCAAGTTAGATGTAGTTAAATAAATCAAAAGGAAAATAATGGCAAAGACACTAAAAAATTACTATTACATGGTTAAAACTCTAGGGCTTGTTATAATTACAGAAAACAGAGTTTACAGTGATTTTTAAAAGGCACTAATTTATATTAGTGAGTTTCTATACACACACTCTGGAATGCTGGTTGTTGCTGTTTTTAGTCAATGTTATTTAAATAACAATTTATATGAAAGAAGCAGCTGAAATAAAAAAGGTGGAATATTATTGTTTGCTTATTAAAATTATTTGTCTGTGTCCCTCCAATATTAGAATTGTATTTCAAAAGAAGTAACTCCTTTCATGATTTGTGATTAACAACTAGGGCCCTAAATGCACTTTCCATTAAACAACAATCAGGATAGCAGAGACCAAGGGCTAAATCAAAAACAAACAAAACAAAAAACTTAACTTAGGGTTTGAACCTGTACTTTGATGGATTTGGAGTGACCAAGTCCAAAACTGTAATCCAGATACCGCCACTCAGCAACAACATAACTTCGGAAGCACCTAAACTCACTAAATGTGTTACTGTTTAGCCTGAAAGTTCCCCTTGGCACCTGCACTTCTGCTTCTGATCAAGCCTGGAAACATCCTTTCTGAACAGTTTTGTTCTTAGATTCTGCGTATGCCCTAAATGAAATCCAGAAAGCAGGAGGAAAGGCACCTACGTACCCAGAGGAGCCATAATGTACTAGGCATACTTGGAATACAGCTGCAATCTGCATTATGTGTTTTTGTGGGATTGGGCCTATCACAGATGCAGTCATGGCTGCTTTACAGTACTACTGCCTGCTTTATATATAATAGCTTATTGGGTGAAGAGCTTGCCCAGAAATTAAGGGAGTTGGGTTATAAGCCCTTATCAACCCGAGAGAGTTCAAACCCACATCTCCCAGCTTCTATTCAAGGGTTCTTACCACCAGGTAGTAGGTTAGCTTGGAGACATTTCCCTTTTCTGTCACTGAGCAGAAGCAAATTCAAGTTCATAAGGCTAAAAAGAAAGGGACTAGGGTTAGATGCAGACATTAAAACGCCCAATGCAGAATCAAGATAAATGACGC